CCGCGGGGGGGGCCCCCGGGGGCGCCCCCGGGGGGGCCCCCGGGGGGGCCCCCGGGGGGCCCCCCCCGGGGGGGGCCCCCTCGTGGGGCTGTTTGCTGCTGCCAAGCCACGAGCAGCCCCTGACTTCTGAGATGTACCTTCGCTATGGCGGGGACAAGGGGGGCCACCGGCGAAGTCCTTTGTTCGAGGCCCCCGGGGGTGCAGCAGGAGCAGCAGCAGGAGCAGCAGCAACGGGAGCAGCAGCAGCAGCAGCAGGTGCTGCTAAGTACCGCATGTTCATCATCAACCAGTGCAGAGAAGAAGTTTTCTTCCAAGACATTTTCCCCGGCCCCAACTTCATTGTCGAGGCGGGGCCCAGCCACGTCTTCTACAAGATCCCCGAGGCCAACGAGGTCCGCTCTTGCTGCTGCTGCTGCTGCTGCTCTTGCTGCTGTTGCTGCTGCTGTTGCTGCGGCTGCTGTTGCGCTGGTGCTGTTGCTGGTGCTTGGGTTGGGCCTGCCGTCTTCGGCAAAAGGCAGTCGTGGGGTCTGGCCACAGACAGCAGCAGCAGCAGCAGCAGCAGCAGCAGCAGGTATTTCACTGCGTGGGCCAACACTCTAGGCTTGAGGGCCAGGTCTGCGTTGCTGCTGCTGCTGCTGTCCTTTTCTGAGTCCAGGTGTACCTGTCTGCTGTGCGCGCCTCTGCTGCTGCTACTGCTGCTGGCATACGGCGCTGAGGTCTATTTGCTGCTGCTGCTGTTGCTGCTGCTGCTGCAGGATCAATATGCAGTTTACGGGCTGTGGATGCACAGTGACGAAGAAAGGCTGCGGCTGCAGGAGGCGCTGCGAGAGCTTCTGGAGTCTGAAGGGCAGAGCTCGGAGCCAGCAGCAGCAGCAGCAACAGCAGCAACAGCAGCAGCAGCAGGGGGAGGAGGCGCGGCAGCGCAGAACGTGGCGTCTCTCCCGGGGTTGCCGCCGCAGCAGCAACAGCGGCAGCAGCAGCAGCAAATCGTGAGGCAAGGGAAACCAGCGCAGCAGCAGCGGCCGCACGAGAGAGCAAGGGATCCAGCTGGAGAGAATGCAGGCAAAGTGAGCCACTGGGCAGTAGCAGCAGCAGCAGCAGCTGTTGCTGCTGCTGCTGCTGTTGATGCTAAATTATTTGCTGCCTAGGACGGCATGCGGTGTGCATGGAAGGACATCCATGGCTTTTCTGCAGCTGCGCGGCGCCTGCTGCTGCTGCAGTATATCCCAGTATCTCGCTGCTGCTGCCGGACCCGTTGCTGCTGCGGCTGAATCTGCTGCTGCTACTGCTGCTGCTGCTGCTGCTGCTGCTGTCTCAGGCGTTGCTGTCTTTCTTGACCGGAGGCGTGCCAATACCGAGCGCCTTTGAGCATTCCTACGAGACAGCGAGCGGGAGGCTTGCTGCAAAGTCTGCGGGGGCAGCAGCAGCAGCAAACACAACAGCAGCAAATACAGCAGCAGCAAGCACAGCAGCAGAAAATGCAGCAGCAGCCGACACGGCAGCAGCAAGTGCAGCCTCAGAGGCTCAGACAGCGCCGCCGAGAACGAGGAGTCTGCCCTCTTCAGCAGCAGACGGAGGAAAAGCAATTATTAGTTTGCTGCGGCAGCACAGGGAACATCGGCAGCAGCAGCAGCACGAGCAGCTGCAGCCAGAATGCGAGCATGTGCAGCAGGAGCGACAGCAAGTGCAGCGGGATAGGCAGCAGCTGCAGCAGCAGCAGCTGCCGCTCCAGCAGCAGGAACAGCTGCAGCAGCAACGACAGCAGCAGGAGCAGCAGCAGCAGCAACGGCAGCAGCAGCAGCGGCAGAGCCAACAGCCGCTGCACCAGAAACTGCAGCCGGCGAAGGAGAGGCCGCAGCGGTATCTGCAGCCGCCGGGACAAGAGCAGCAGCAGCGCCAGGAGCTACAGCAGCACTGGTGGCAGCAACGTGAGGAAAAGCCGCAGCTGCAGCAGCAGCAGCAGGGACTGCAGCAAGCAGCTGATGCTGCCTTGCGTGACTCAGCAGGCGCCCTCAGGCGGCCCTCGGAGCAAAAGCGGGGCGGAGAGCCCGCACGTTTTGTGCGCGCAGCAACGGCGCCAACAGCAGCAGCAGCACCCCAAGCAGCAGCAGCAGCACCAGCACCAGCAGCAGCAGCACCAGCAGCAGCAGCAGCACCAATTGCACGCTCCGCACCCTTGTCTCCGTTCCGTAGCTGCAACTACCCCAAAGCCTTTTCGCAGCAGTCGCTGCTGCAGATGCTCACAGTGAGGCATTGGCACCTGCTGTGTCCCACGTCTAGCTAGCTAGCTAGCTAGCCAGCCAGCCAGCCAGCTAGCTAGCCAGCCAGTTAGCTGGCTCAGCAGCTAGCCTGCGCAGCTGGCTTTGTAGCTAGCAAGCTCAGTGTCTAGTAAGCTCTGCGCATGTGTGGTTGCCGTTCTTGCTGTCTATGGGCTGCTGCTGCTGCTGCTATCTTCGCGCTGCTGCAGCGGGAGTGCACAGGAGCCCCAGGGACAACAGCAACCGATGACGCAGCAGCAGCAGCGGTGGAATCAACGAGGGCCCCTGTGGCGTCGACCGCAGCAGAAACAGCAACAGCAGCAGATGCTGCAGCAGCAACATTCCCAGCAGCAGCAGCAGACGAGGAGACCACTGTTGTTTCGCGGGCGTCTCTAAAGCAGGCAATCGCGGCTGCGCTACAGAGCGACGAGTTCCAAGACCTCGTGTGGCGGCAGCTGCTGCTGCTACAGCAGCAGAATAGGCAGCAGCAGCATCAGCACCAGCAGAGCAGGCAGCAGCAAAACAGGCAGCAGCAGCAGCAGCAGCAGATCCTCCGTAGAAGCGACCGCAGCCAAAAGCTGGAGGGGTGAACAGCGCAGCCCTCAGAGGCCTAGAAGTCCTAGCGGGGCCCCCCAGGGTCCCTCTGGGGTCGCTGGGGGGCCCCTCTGGGACCCCTCTGTGGGGCCCCTCTGGGGCCCCTCTCTGGTTCCCCTCTGGGGCCCCTCTAGAGCCCCACAGGGGCTTCAAAAAGGTCTTTTTAGGTCCGCGAGAGGCCCTGAAGAGGTCTTTTCAAACCCAAAAGGGCCCCAAAAAGGCCTTTTCAAGGCCTTTGGGGGGCCCCAAGGGTGTCATTTTGAAGCACAAGTGGGGCCCCAAAAGGGTCTTCTAGAGGCGCCACTGTGGGGCCCATGAGAGGCCCCTAAGAAGCCTTTTGGAGCTTCCTAGACAAGAAATAAAAGCTGAGGGGCCCCCAAGAGGGCACAGGGGGCCTCCAGAGGCCCCAGAGAAGCCCCCAAGCAGCAGCAAGGGAAGTAATTCCTTTTCTTGTTGCTGGGGGAGGCCTTTTGTGCAGCGGAGGGCTCGCCAACTAGCTGCGGACGCGGCGGGCTGCCCGCCAACTAGCTAGCTGACTAGCTAGCTAAGCAGCTAGCTAAGTGACTAGCTAGCTAACTAGCTAGCTAGCTGACTAGCCAGCTAACTAGCTAGCTAACTGGCTGGCTAGCTATCTAAGTAGCTCGGCAGCTGCCTCTGCCTTGCCAGGTAGCTAGCTAAGGGCTGGCTAGCTGAGCAGCAGCAGCCAGCGGATAGTTGCCTTGCCAGGTAGCTAGCTAAGGAGCTAGCTAGCTGAGTAGCGGACGAACTCGGGCAGTTAGTGTGTCTCTGCGTAAGAAGGACAACTAAAGGTGGGCTTCTGCTGCTGCTGCAGCTAGCTAGCTGCAGCTGCTGGGATTGCTGCTGCGCCGAATGCAGCTGCTGCTGCACTCGGCCGCTCAGCTGCTGCAGCATCAAGGCACAGCCCACCCATTACAGTGACCGCCTAAAGGGCGTGCTAGCCATCCCAGCTAGCTAGCAGGGCCCCTCATCGGGTGACTAGCTAGCTAGCCAGCTAGCTAGCTAGCTGGCTAGCTAGCTAGCTCGAACTTCTGCCTTGCTGGCATGCTGTCTCGGATCAAAGACCATTCCATGAGAGGTTCGGCGGAGAGCTGCTGCTGAGCTCAGAAGCTGTGGGGAATTCAGGGCTCCTGAGGTTCTGCTGCAGCTTCGTTTGTGTCCTGCGCGTCTGTTTGCTGCTGCCGCTGCTGCTGCTGCTGGTTGGCCTTGGCTCGGCCGTGCTTCTTTTTCGGCTGTAGAAAGAGAGTGAGGACGGAGCAGGGGCCCTTCGCCTGGGGTGCTGCTGCAGGCTGCCCCACATCTTGCAGCAGCTGCTGCAGCTGCTGCAGTAGCGGCAGGTGGTTCTCTGGGGAGAACCGCTCGCGGCCCCTCAGCTGCAGCGTGAACTTAACCTGAAAAAGAAAAAAGTGAATTGCTGCAGCACAGCCTGAGAGAGGGAAAAGTGGATTGCTGCAGCAAACACGAAATAGAAAGGAGTGAAGTGCTGCAGCACATATTCTGCATCCATCTTCGCTTTGAGCTCTGCAATATATAGACAGCTTCCAGGGCGGGAAAGTCTGCTGCTGCTGCTGCTGCCCACGTGTCGTGAGTGCTGCTGCTGCTGGTAAACATGCATTGTGCTGCTGCTGCTGCTGGGCACCAGCGGACTGCTGTCGCTGCTGCCGGCGGGCAGGCTGCCTCCTTAGCAGCTCTAAACAATTCATTATTTGTTTTCTCTTGCTTGCCTCATTTCAATTTATTATTATTATTAAACAATTCACTCTTTGTTTTCTTTTGTTTGCCTCACTTTAATTTATTATTATTATTTTATTCTGAACTTGCTGCTGCTCTGTTTGCTGCTGGGTGCAGCAGCCGCACCTGATGCTTCCCTTCTAAGAAGACCCGCGCCTGCCGCGCCTTCTGCTGGAGGTCCCCCACAGCAATCCTGAAGAAAGAAGAAGCCAAGTGTGCAGACTCCGCATGCTGCTGCTGCTGCTGCTGCTGCTGCTTGTGTCACTCTCTGTGCTGCGTGTGCTGCTCCTGTCACTCTAAGTGCTGCTGCTGCTGCTGCCTGACTTTCAAACTCCCCTGACACTGCTATCAGGATGAGAGGCAGCAACCGCAGTTGAGTAGTGCTGCTGCTGCACCAGTGACAGCAGCAGCAGCAGCAGCAGCAGCTGCTGCTGTGGTTGGTTACCGGGCACTCAGCTTGATTTCTTTCTTGCGTGGTTGTTTAGAAGCCTTTGCTCTCAGGGCTCGAGCCTGCGCAAATCCAAAACCATCCCCAAACCCTAAACCCTAAATCCCAAGCCCCAAAACTAAAGACAAAAAGAAATAATATAAACTACATATTTCCTTCCCAGGCAAAAATGGGGGCTTTCAGCGGCCACAGAAACAAGCCAAGGCACCCTCACCCGACTGTAGTTTGCAGCAGCAAATTCTGGGTGTTGGTGCTGCTGCAGCTCGCCCTCCTGCCGCTGCAGCATCTGCTGCAGCATTTGCTGCCCACCCTCGAAGTCCGAAAGGTTTTCGACTGTGTTCCTCAGCTTCAGGTACTCCTGCGGGTCCCCTGCGAAGGGCCCCGCAAGCAAACGGCCCAGCGCGCCTGCTAGGGTCCCCTTGGGGGCCCCTAGGGGGGCCCCCCGCCTGAATCTATGGGCAGTGTAGGAGCTAGCTGCGGGAGAAATGAGGCAAGAGGGGGCCCCAGGGGAGCTGCGAAAGCCTCGACATAAGCCGCAGCAAAGAAGTAGCAGCAGACAAAAGGAAATAACTCGCAATTTCATGCTGGGCTGAAGTTCGAGGCCCCTGGGCTGCCTGTGCACACTGTGCACGACGAGCCCGGGGGTTCCGGCGCGTTTATAGCCGTTTCATAGATAAAATTGAATTAAAATTGACAAAACAAACAAACAAAGTAAATTAGAATTTTGTTACGATTTTCGCGCGAGAAAGAAGAGGATTGCCACACTGTCGGCCAAGACCGGGGGCCCCGCCCTCCGTAGAGGGCGAGTGAAGAATGCAGGGATCCCCCAATAAGTACGGGGCACAAAATGCAGAATAAAATAAAATTGAAGCATTTGATGACAGATCAGCAAGTATCACGTCAAACCACAGAGAGGGAATCCTTCGAGGGGCCCCTAAGGGGGCCCCTTGCTCCCAGGGGCCCCTCGTCCCAGATCCTCTGGGGTGCTCACTTCCCAAGGTTTGTGTGGGAGTTGTGGCAGCAGCGGAATTAGTTTAAATCTGTCGAGTTCTGACTGGCCTCTGTCTGTTGATTACCTGCTTAAAGTGTACATACACTCAGCTCACGCTGCGCAGACAGCTGCCCAGCAACAGCAGGCAAGGAGTCCCGAGAGGGAAGGGCTTGCCTTCCCTGCTCGATTTGCTGCTGCTGCTGCTACTGCTGCAGCTCTACGCCCACGCCAGCGCTTCTGCTGCAGCTGACACCTCCGCTGCTGCAGCCGCTGACAGCACTCGGGGCCCGCAGCCCCGAGCACTGCAGGCTGCGGTCTATGCCTTGCTGTTTACTGTAGCTGCATGCGCAGCTGGGGGCCCCTGCTTTGCCGTGGGGGCCCCTCAGCATTCTTAAGCTCATGGGGTCGTTGCTGCATTGGGCGATGGCTTCATGCTGCCTCTGCTTCTGGGGGCCCCCACGTTTGCTGCTGACGCACCGAAAAGCAGCAGCAGCAACAGCAGCAGCAACAGCAGCAACAACAGCAGTGCTAACCGTCCTGTCACTCCTTAGCAGCACTTCCCAAGCCTTTGTGCTGCCGCATCTTGAAGCAAACTTCAGCTCGCAGCCGTACAGCAGCAATGACTCGGCAGCAGCAGCAGCAGCATCTGCTGCTGCTGCTGCCACTGCTACTACTTCCTCTCCAGCAGCCCTTCTGCTTCCACATTCTCCAATTACGCTGTGCATAACGCCGAAGCCAATAGATCATGCACGAGAGGCAGCAGCAACAAGAGCAGCAGCAGCGTCAGCAGCAGCAGCAACAAGCGAAGCAGCATCGACAGCAGCAGAGGAATTGGAGGCAGGGCTGGCAGACGCAGCGCCTCCACGAGCAGCTGCAGCAAAAGCAGAAGCAGCAGGCACAGCACTACCTGCAGCAGCAACAACAATGAATGAAGAAGCGTTGACAGCAGCAGAAGCACCAGAAGTAGCAGCAGCTGCTGCAGCACTGCCACCAGCAGCAGCAGCCCACAGAGAGCCACTGGGGGCCTCTCGGCTGCTGCACGTGCGCCTGCTGACTCTGAACTTAGAGAAGATGGTGCATTTCTACACGCAGCTGCTGCGCATGAGGGTTCTGGGGCTGTGGGGGCCCCCCGGGGGGCCCCCTGAGGGGGCTCCAGGGGGGCCCCCGGAGGGGGCCCCAAGGGGGCCCCCTGAGGAGGCCCCCCCCGCGCTGCAGCAGCAGTCCCCTCACTTGTGGGAGCCCCTGAGCGGCCGCGTGTCCCTTACGGGAGGCAGCAGCATTCCTGTAGATCGCATTGTGCTGCTGGGGTATGGCCCGGAGGCTGCTGCAGCAAGTGCAGAAGGGGGACCCCCGGGGGGCCCCCCCGGGGCTTCTGCTGGGGGGCCCCCTCAGGGCCTCAAGCTGGAGCTGATCTACAGCAGCAGATGGGCGCAGCAGCAGCGAGAGGCCGAGGCAGCAGCAGCAGCAGCGATAAGAAAAGAAGAAAGTGATCTGGTTGCTGCAGTTGCTGCGTTCCAGCAGCAGGAGGCGCTGCGGCAGTCAGGCCAGTCCAGCAGCGGCAGCAGCAGCAGCAGAAGCAGCAGCAGTTTGCTACCCAGCTTGTCGCGCATGCGTGGATATGAGAGGCGGAGAGGAAGATATGACAGGGGCCATCATGGCTTCTTCGGACTTTCATTTTTGCTGCCGTCGCTGCAGCAGCTGCAGCAGCAGCAAGTGCAGCAGGCTGGAGGCAAGCTGCTGCACTTCCCGGCCAAGCGAAAGCAGGTGCCTTCGATGGTACCAGACCAAGACGTGGGACTCCACACTCTAAACCCTAAACCCTCAATTCTAAACCCTAAACCTTAAACCCCAAACCCTAAACCCTAGCTTTCTTTCTTTAACAAACAACAGCAGCTCTGCTGCTGCTTATCAGGGGTCAGGGTCTTGAGTTTAAACTTGCGTTTAGGCGCGGCAAGAGATTTGGGGCCAGAGCTGCTTCATGCTGGACCCTGACGGGAACGGGGTGGAAGTGCTGCAGCTGACGAGCAGCAGCAGCTGCAGCAGCATTGGCCTTAGTGAACAGGCGAGGAAGCAGGAAGCAGCAATCAATACTTGGCAAAACTACATGGCGGAGCAGGAGGCCGACATTTCCAGGCAAAAGGAGAAGCAGCAGCTGCTGCAGCAACTCGACGAAGTGGAAAAGTTGCTGCTGCAACTCGAGCAGCAGCAACAGCAGCACCAGGAAGAGCAGCATAAGAAGCAGCAGCAGCAGGAACGCGACAGGCTGACGAAGCGGCAGCAGGAGCTGCAGAGGAAACTGGCGGTATTTAACGAGCAGCAGCGTATACTTGACGAGCTGGAACAACAGCAACAACGGCGGCAGCGGGAGAGGGAAGCAGCAGCAGCTGGCACTGCACTGCAGCACAAGGGGCCCCTTTCGCCCAGACTGCAGAAGGTAGGGCTGCTTTTCCGTCTATTTTGAAGCACCAGCAGCAGAGACAGAGAGACATGGTCACAGAGCCAGGATGAAGACTCTGCTGCTGTTGCTGGTGTAACTGCTGCTGCCGCTGCCTTCCCTGTGAATGTGAGCAGATTCGACTCTACACGTCATCACCAGTTGCTGCCGATCGCTTCTTTGGCTCTATGCTGCAAATGCAGGTAATCAAGAAGCGCAGAGGCCTCTATGAGCCTCAAGGCTAACTGGAGGGATAGCAGCAATGTAATAATCAGAAGGGAGCAGCAGTATCTGTAGGCCGGTAGAGGCAGCAGCAGCGTCCGCAGCAGCTCGGAGGCTAGGTAGCGAGCTATGAAACAGACAGTCATAGAGAGAGCAACGCACAATAAAACAAAAGGACAAAGATAGATGGAAAGGGAGACCAGCAAAGGCGCAGACACAGACAAGAAACGCATGTAGGCAGAGGAATGAGAGGGGCAGTTGCACGCAGACTGAGAAGTAGAAACAGAATTGAAATAAGATAGAACGAAGGAGCAATATAAGCCGAAGACAGCAACCAAAGCTATAGCAAGTCAACAGAACCACGCAAAGAGGCGCTGAAGCAAACAGACCAGCTGTGGCAGCGAGCGAAGCATTCGCAGCGGGCAAGTTAGAAGCATAGCTGCGGGCGCCGTCATAAATTAAAAGGGAATAAAAGAGAAAAAGATATGGCAAAAAAGATTTGGAAACTGCTGCTGTGCTGCGGGCTGCTGCAGCTCCTGCGCTACAAGAGCCACTTGCTGGAGCGGCTGCACCCTTGGACTCGTTTTGCTGCCACCAGCCGCACATACGCGTGCGAAGCAGCAGCCCTTCGGGCGAAGGCCGGAGCCAGCGAAGGCGCAGCAGCAGCAGCAGCTGCTGTTGCTGCCGCAGTAGCTGCAGCAGGAGACCAGGGCCTCTACGGGGAAACTTCCACTGTTCCCGCAGAGTGGGAAGGACCTGCAGCACAGGACCCTCCCGCTGCTGCTGCTGAAGTCTTCAGGACAGAAGCAGCAGAACGTGAGGTGCCACAAGTCCAGGTGGCCTATGCCTACGACGAGAACCTGGTGAGCTGTTTGTCTTTAGTTTGCATTAGGAGATTTAGCTGCCGATCCTGGTGCAGTTTTGCTGCAGTGGGCCGGCCCTATGCATGTGCACCTCATTTTCGTGTGGGTGTCGTATGGCCAAGCTCTGATCAAATGTATCTGCGCAAAAAGCTGCGCCAATTAATAGTGTTTGTAGGAAGCAGTGGGATTACTAGGCTTGGGGCAAAATGCTAGGTAGGGCTAGGGAGCCTATATGAGACCTCCAGGCGGCAAAGCGCTGTTTCTGTTGCTGCTGCTGCTGCTGCTCAGGTGTCTGTGCACCCAGGGTTTTTGCATGTGGCGCTGTCGGTGGCCGATGTTCCATCAGCTGTTGCGCACATATCCTCTAAAGAAGCAGAGGCAGCTGCGGCAGCAGAGGCAGAAGAGAAAGCAGCAGAAGCCGCAGCCACAGCTGGCAGCAAGTGCCAGCCATGCAAAATGGAAGGCTTGCAGGAAGGCGCACACTTCGGAGCAACGGAAATCGTGGGGGATGCTGAAGACGTTTATAAACCCACCACCATTAAATCACAAACCCCACAAGAGTGTCTTTTGCTCAACTTCGACGGCTATCCTTTTCTTCTGGCTACCGAAGAACAGGCACAGGCGTACTACCGTTGCCTCGAGAAGGCCCCCGTAACAGGCCCCCCTTTCAAATTGGCGTAATTTGTAAGGCCTGGGGTGCAAAAATACCCCAGTCTAGGGCTGATTCCAGAGCAGCAGCAGCAGCAACTGCTGCTCTTGTGTCTCAGCTGGTGCTGCCGCAGCCACCGCTGCTGCAGCTTTAGCCACTGCTGCTATCGGGGTTGTTGAATTTAAGCGCCAGCTCGCGTTGGTGTTTCTGCACATGCCAAACTGTTGACTGCAACAATGGGCGGTGTAGATACTGTTTGTGAGATATAGTCCGAGACAAAACTCAGAAGACTGGGTGACAGAGCTAAAGGGAAAGGAGGAGAAACACAGGAAGATATGAAAGGGACATACGTACAGAAAGCCTGATAGAAGAGCTTTCTACTTGATTCAGCAAGAGTACGAAAGAAGACATTTGAAGCAACAAGACACTTCGTAATGGAATAAGGGAAGAGTTTAGCAGGAGTGCCCACTGTTGCGCCGTTCCTGCCTTTGCTTATGAGCTTACAACAACACTAATGCTGGAAAGTACACCTGCAAGTGATTGTCTTCGCATGTTCTCGTTTCCCTGCTCGACCTCTAAACACAGCTGTACAGGCCACGCTTGTGAATGTGCCGCTTGCACGCCAGCAAAGAAACAAAGTGCTTTTAGAATTTAAGGCGCCAAAAGGGCGCAGAGAACGACTGTCGACTGTCGGCTGTACAAAAGTGGCCATGTGGGAACAGGCGTCACTCAAGCGCGCACACCAGAGGCCAGGTTGTAGGTGGGCATACAGCAAGCCTACAACAAGACCCCCATTTGGGGTCTGCGTCTACGCACACTTACTTGCGCACGGGAAACAAGCACCACCATTAGCTACTTGTCGAGGCGCCGCGCAGCAGCGGCCTACCGCCGGCAACTGCAGCTGCTGGGCTTGCCAGTCTCAAGGGGGCTGAAAGCAAGAATAAACCTTGGGCTTGTACCCACAGGCATGTATGTCTCTCTGTGCCTGTAAGAACGTTGTTACTGTGTGTCTATGTACACAGGCGTGTGCAGTATGCAGGCCAGACACGGAAGAAGCACAGCGCTTGCAATGCACTGCATGAGGCCTGCAGTTGCAACAAGAGCAGCATCAATGAGGGCCCCTCTCCGCCATCCCGATTCATGTGCTAATCAGCAGCCATGAGCCAGTTGAACAGAATCAGATACAGAGGCTGAGAGCCAGATAGAGGGAGGAGGCCGCTGCGCTGTTGAACATGCACAGGCCTTCCCTGCAACCATGTACAGCTGAGGGCGCAGCAACAGGCAAGGAAGGGCAAACAGTGAGTCAGGAGCGGCTGTGAAGAAAAGCAGCAGAGGCACGACAGCATTACTTTGCAGCATCAACAAATGAAAACCAGGGGAAATAGAAAAATAAACGATGCCCGCAGACACAACGACAAGGCGCGGGTGAACAGGAAACTTAAGCTACACAAACGGCGACAGCAACAGAGGCCGAAGAGAAGACAGAACCAGAGGCAGAGCCAGCAAAAGCTCGGCGGCCTAACCCCCGCTGCTGTGCTTTAGGGTGACGGCAGAGGCTGTGTATTTGCCACTATAATCAAATGAGCACGGTAGCTCCAGTGACAGCTGAGAAGAGACACGCAATGCAAAGATCAAAAGCTTCAAGTGCTGAAAATGCCAATGGCCCAATTCTGAGGCCAGCACGAGAGGGAAACGGAGGAGCTCAAACGCCCCGTGGCGCAGCAAATGCAGTAGCAGTTGCCGGTGAAGCTGCTGCTGTCGTTGCCGATGCTGCTTCCGAATTAGCAGGAAAGCCGGCTGCGGCGGCTGTCGTTGTGCTTGCTGTTGCTGCTGATGCTGGTGAAACCAGTCCAGCGTCCGCAGCAAGCACTGCAGCAGAGCTTGCGCGGGCGTTGGACAGAGAGGCCCAGACAGCTTCGATCACTTTGGGCGGTAACTGTTTCGTTATGTTGTCTATTTGCTGCAGCAAGAAGGGAGGAACAAAAGTGGATCGCACCCACAAGGTTGGACTGCAAAATCTAAGCTCTCAACCTTAGTGTGAGTTACTAGCGGATAACATCCCCAAACTGCGCCGCGGCTTCTTTGTTCCCATGTTTTCAAGCATGCGGTTTAACAGCGGCAGCATCGACAAAACATCGAGAGTGGTAGCATCAGCAACAGCAGCACCGACACGATCACCAGCAAGCAGCCCCTCGAACACGCGTAGCAGCAGAAGACTCAGCAGCAACAGCAGTACAGCAACTCCCCGACCGCTGAGGGCCCGAAATTTCAATCTCTGCGCACCGCCAAAAGGAGCTCCACGCTGGGGTTGGAAACAGCAGGAGGCTTAGAGGACGTCAACTGAGGGTTTTGAAAGCTGTCATCACATCCCTCCAGGTCGCTTCGTTTTAGACTCGATTCCTCCTGCCCGTGCTGCTGGTGTTGCTGTTGCTGCTGGTCTTGCTGCTCCACGTCCACAGCCGGTGAACGCGTGCTGAGTCCAGTCTCTCTAATTGAGAAGTCCACCGCAGGTTGGCGCCTTGCTGTGTTCTGCTGTTCCTGCTGCAGCTCCTGTCGCAGCTGCTGAGGCTCAGAGAGTGTCCCAGTTGGTCGAGAGTCAAAACCAGGAAAAGCTTGTTGCAGTGCCTCTTCGGCTGCAATTTTTCGCGTATGCTGCGTATTCTCGTCGCCTTCAGGCCTCTGTTGGGCCTGCTTTGATTTCAAGGGTGCACGCACCTGGGAAGTGTCAAGATGCAGCAGCAGGGGCTGGCTGGGAGGGGCTGCTGGCGACGACGGGCAGTTACCTCCACGATTCTCCTCTTCCAGAGGTCCATTTGTCCGCTTAAGGTCACTGCTGGACTTCCCTCTCTGGCCTGAGTAAAAAGGGCTAGCAAATGTAGTGAGCTGGTTGTGAATTGTGGAGGACTGATCAGTGGTCACCACGGAGCAGTCTGTGAATTGTCCAATGGTGTTCCACGGCCCGGCCGGGCTGCAGCTTGAGGCTGGCGCAGAGCCGGTCTCGCTTTGCTGCAGTGCGTGAGATCGCACATGTTGTGTAGAATGTCCTGTGTCTCGTCCGTCTCCGTCGTTTGTTTCGACGTTTCCGTCTCCGTCTGCAGCAGCTGGGGAGGCAGCCCAACTGCTTCCTTCACAACACAAGGAGCTGCGGCGACTGCCAGAGGCAGCTGCTGCTGCTTCGAGCGGGGACGGATCCTTAGCGTCGGGAGATACGGACGGAGGCTGACACAGCTGAAGAGCATCAGCGGCAGGGGCGCCTCTGTGGGGTCTCGGCGCACTGCCACCAATAGATGTTGCTGCTCCTGAAGCGGTAGCAGCTGCCTGTGAACAGGCTTGAGCTTTCTCCTCAACAAAAGTGCCTGGGGAGCTGCTGGGGGCCCACCCAGCAGAACTCGCAGGGAGAGAACACGGAGAAACACTGTCATTTGCTGCCCCTGCAAGGTCCTTCTCTCCGTCTGTTGAGACTTGAAGGACTTCTCCATTAAGCACGCCTTCGGCGGGCTCGAGAACTGTGGCGCTATCTGGTCTGTCTGCCAATTCAACATTTGCATCAGCTGCGGTGGCTGCTGCTGCAGCGGGTTCAGCAGTTGGGGCAGCAGCTGGTGGAGTGACTAGCGAAGTGTCCGCTGCGGGAGAAGCAGCATTCAGCGGGGGAGTCCCAGTGTCGACTGTACAAGCTTCGTCTTGGGACTTGAGCTTTCTTACAAGACACGGCAGCCCCATTTGGTGTGCCCTGTGGGAGAAGGCGCGGGGGGAACTCGTGCCGGCTGACCACCAGCTGTTCATATTGTCTGCTGCCTCCTGTTGGGGGCAAGGGGAGGGAGAAAAAGTGAGGGCGCCTTCTATCTCTAGTGCCTCAAGTGGTCTGCTGCTTCCGCCACCAGGAGGCATCAGGTCGGACAGGTCCATCTGGAAGTAAGACCTTGCGTTCTGTTGCATGCGCCCAAGAAGTTGCGACTGCGCCTCCTGCTGGGATCCTTCTGTCTGTCGGCCATCCCAGTGAGGCGGGAAGGGGGAAATACAAGTGGGGAGCCCTGTCGAAGCATCTTCGCAGAGGCTCTTTCCATAGCTAGCTGGTCCTGCGGCACTCAGCTGCCTCCGCGCACTAATGTGTGTATCCAAGCCGGGAGAACCTAGGGGTCCGGCCAAGTCAGAGGGCCCCAGAGAGAGCTGGAGGCTGAGGTCAGTGTCTGCGGTGCCATCCATGTCGGTGAGTTTGGGCTGGGCGTCGTCTGCGAGAGAGAGAGGGCCTTCTGGGTCTCTCTCTCTCTCATCTATCTCCTTCAGCCGAGGGGCAATATAGCTGTTGCAGGCCGAAGGAGACGGCAGCGAGTCGCAGCCAAGACTGGCAGATAAGGAGGTTGACGGCGTCTCAGTGGAGGAGCCGCTCGCGTCTACTTGCTGCCCCCTCCAGCCCTTGCTGCTTTCCCCCGCCGCAGAGCCCGGCAGACTCCACGGCTCCTGCAGTGCAGACGCTGCAGCAGCTGCTGCAGCTGAAGCACTTCCGGCTGGAGAAACATTCAAGAACGGGGGTCTCAGGTCCTGGAAAGAACGCAGCTGGAAGGATGAAGCTCTCGAAAGAGGGCTACTTTCAAACCTCTGAACGGGGGGCTCCTCTGCACTTTGTGTAGGTGCCGGTCCACTGACAGGACCCTCGGACTTCCCTTCGTTCTCTTCAGAGCCATCTTTAGGCAATCGCCGCACCTCAAGAGGCTCCACGGCGTCTCTGCTTCTCTCATTCTCTCCGCAGAATGGCGCATGCACTTCCGGCACCGGGTGGCGGTAACTAGGGAAAGGGAAGAGGCTGAGGCCCCCTTGTCGGGTGTCTAGGCACTCCGACGGCTGTGGCGCATGCGCACTCTGGGGGTGGTCCAACATGTGGGACCCCTGTACCTGTACCGGCGTTTTTATGCGCGTCAGTGGCTGCCTTTGACTGGCTGCTGCTGCTGTTGCTGCTGTAGGTTGCAGCATGGGCGCCTCTCTAAGCGTGAGGGCTTCGGAGGGTCTCTGTAGGCAGCGTGTCCCCCTTGTGGAGCCTCCCACTGGACAGGGTAATCTTCTGCTGTGCTGTTGGGGTTGTTGTACAGGGTCAAGCTGCTGCAGCGACGGCAGCCCGCCTCCAGCTGTGGCAGCTGCAGCGGCTACTGCCAGCTCTGTGCGCTGGGGTTGGGATTCGAAGAACCTGGCGTTCCCCCGAAGCCCCTTTGCGTCTTTATGCCAAGGCGTTGCGGAGTCTGTGTCTTTTGACTGCCTGTCCATGTCCAGCATGGGGAAGACTTGAGGGAAGGCCTTGCAGCCCTCGCCATCCCTGCTGGGGCTATGGGCAGCAGCCGTAGCAACAAGGGGGCCCCCAGGCTGTGGAGGCACCCCAAGGTCTCTGCCTGCCACTCCCTGACCAAAAAGGGCACAGTTATCTCCATCTCCGCTGCCGTAGAATGGGAAAGGCCCAGGAGAGGGCAATCCAAAGTCATAAGCCAATTTGTATGCTACGAGCCTGCAAACTTCCTGCACAGTTTGACCAGTGGGAGTGAAAGGAGCCATTAGGGAAACGGGAGAGCGGTGGCTGGTGTCGAGCCCATCGGAGGCTCCCGAAGAGGTGCTGCGGCCAGGGATGGAACACGCCAAGCCGATTTTTTTGAACTGCACCTTTAGCTCCTGATCTCCTATGATTAGGGCCGCCTTTTTGTACTGCACAAGCTCGTAGGCGGCCTGAAGGGAGGAGAGCTCGACGAAAGCATAGGGCAAGTAGTTGCTCCGCTCCCTCATCTCCACGCATACCACCTCCCCATGCTCCAGCAAGAAGTTAATCGCCGATCTTAGACTCTCCTTACTTGTGCCCGGCAACATATTGCTCACATACACGCTGCGCCCGTGGGGCGTGTTTGGCCGGTCTGACTTACCCAGGCCCAGGTTCGCCAGTTCTCCTCCATCCCCACCGGGACTCGACGAGTCCCCCTTAGGCCGACGGCGAAGAGAAGCATCTAGAGGCATCTTTACGCCCAACAGACGCTCCAAAGGCTGCCGCACTGTGCGCTGACACGCAGTACAAAACAGCAGCAAAACAGCAGCAAGTCAGCACTACCAGCGACAAGGCAAAGCTCCGCAGCAGCACCAGACTCTAAGCATAGGCGCACAAACTGGTGCGCTCTCCGGGCTGTTGCCTAACCAGTGAGCCCAGACACGCCCGCGCCGTTACGCGCAATCCCCTTAACTCTCAAGGCCCCAGAGTGCCAACTTCAATGAGCAGCAGCTATTACAGCTGCAACTACAACAGCTGCTGTGGCTGGCTTAGTGACCTTTAGCCAGGGCAGCAATGTGCGGCAGAGGGCTAGTTTAGTGCCAGGTCTTGTATGAGGCTGCTTCTGAGGCAGCTTATATACGTGGGAGTGTCCGATGAAACTGGAAACTCAGGGAGCAGCTTACACGGATGCACTCATTGACAGAAATTCCGGCGTGACGGTCAAAGCAGAAACGGCAGGGCTGAAGGAACCACAGCACAAATACGGCAAGCCTTAACTTTGCCGAAAGCCCTGGAAGAGGCAGCGATGTCAAAAGCTACCGTTCTGCTCGGTTTCCAAAAGAAAACCAAATCGAAAGGGAAGCAGTGCAACAGCTGGCTGCGCCCAGGTGGACTGGGAAAAGCCGGAACCGTGTGCAAAGCAGCCACGAGGACTGAGAGAAGCAAAGTAAGAGGTTGATGAGCTGCAGCGTAGCCCAGAAAACAAGGAGACGCTGGGGGTGAGAAAGCCGAAGAAGACAGAGATACAGAAACGAAAAGGTAGAGACTGAAAAGCACCGGAGACAAGAGAGACACGATTCTGGAGGAGACAGAGTGACAGGGATCTGGCGAGTGCTCAGGGGACGTGAGGGGTTGAGACCCACTAGAGGGCAGTGCTCTCCTCTGTGGGAAGATCGGTGACAGTTGGGACAAACAAACTCCCCAAATGGACAATTCGTAATTTTGTGCTCCATAGAGTCGCAAGAGAGGCAGAGAGTTGCTGCACATGCGCACCCCCAACAACTTATTTCCCAGCGTCAAAAAGTAGTGTTATGAGGCATGCAGGGGTTGTTGCACTGCGCAGTGACTTTGTTTCGCAAAACCAAGGATTGCGGGTGGAGCTAAGGGCTACCAGTGACGCGGAAGAAGTTATTTTCAGATCTACAGTTCGACGCTCGTTGTGGATTTTCAAATCAAGGGTAGAGCTTAAGGGTCTAGGCACCGGTGTCTTACACTTTGCGTAGGCCTCCACCATTTCAAAGCGGGTGAGGCGCAAGGGCCTCGACTCCCTTTGGCTAAGAACCTGCTTAGCCTGCCACATCTCTAGCGTGGTGGCTAGGGGCAGCTCAGCTGGGGTTCCCCCATCTTCCGTCAGTCTCCGGGGGTCAGCTAAGTCAGAGAGCTCGTTCGCACGTTGGGAGCCTTCGGTAGCCGAGGTAGGTTTAAAAGGCGCGTGTGGGGTTGATGGAAAAGCCGGAATAGCTGGTGTTGCTGCACCTACTGCTGCCGCTGATGACGAAGCAGTTGCTGCTGTAGCATCCCCACCAACAGAGTGGTTGCAGCTCAGGCCCATCCACTTGTTCGAGCAGCTGTAGCACTCCAGAGCAACTTCTGGCTGCAGAGGGTACCCTACAGAGCCGTGCCCCTCAAGAAGCATGTTCTGTTGCAACTGTAGTCGCATTCCTCTCTGCACTGCTTGCTGCTCAGTGACCTGTTTCTGCTGCTGGTGTTGCTGTAAATGCTGCTGCTGGTGTAAGTGTTGCTGCAACAGTTGTTGCTGCAACTGCTGCTGGAGCTGAGGAGGGTTAACTTGACCAGCTTGGATGTGCTGCCGCTGTACTTGTTGCAGATGCTGCAGCTGCTGCTGGTGCCTTTGTTTTTGCTGGTGGAAAAAGTGTGAATGAGAGCTACTGGTCGGAAAAAAGTTGTGCCCCTTAGTACCTTGCTGATGCATCTGCTGATTTTGCTGCTGCTGATGCAGAGTCAAGGCTTCCCTACTCTCTCCCAGCTGCACGCTTAGGTGCGCTCGCTCGACAGAATAGGGGATCAAACTTGTCACGTGGCTGCCTGCAGCGCACACACATTGGTTGCGCAGTGGCTCAGAAAGTCCTCTTCTTTCCAGTCAGCAGTAACAGCCACAAACCAGACACTGCAACAGTATTCACAGCAACAGATAATCCTGCAGCACCAGCAATTAGCCGTGGGGTACCAGCAGCTAATAGAGCATCAATAGTTACTGCTGCAGCAGCAGCAGGGGGCCGTCAAGCACAAGCACTTTCATCGCTGTTTTTTTAGTGACAGACAAACGAGGTGCTGGGGTGTGAATAGTTTCACCTCAGCCAGCACAAACAAAGAGGGGAGCAGGCACGGACGGTACTTTAATTCTCGAGGCATAGTTCTCTCATTCTAGACTAGACGCTCTTAATTCTAAGCTGACCGGCACCAGTCTGGGGCCCCTGGGGAGAAACCTTCATTGCCGACGGGGCCCCTCCTCGCGCTGCATTTGTTGACGAGCATACAGGGACAGAGGCGTCTGTGGGTCCCTTATCGTTTGTAGCTGCATGCATTGCCAGCTGCGGTTGATGAAGGGTGTTGTTGTCAGTGGAGAAGGTGTGCGTGGTTTGGAAATGCAGAGGCACGCCTCTGCTGCAGCCGTCGAAGGCGAACACTGCTGCTGCTGCTCCCGGCATTTCCGTGTCTGTGTGGGTGCTGGCCCCTCCAGAAGGGCACAGGGGCAGCTGGGCCGGCGCAGGAGCAACCGCGGCTTGTACGCCTGGCCATAGCAAGTGTGATGCTGAGCTGTGGGCAGACTGCAACAGATGAGTACAGCCTAAGTAGGAGTCATTGTTCTTCTGTTGCAGCAGCTGCTGCTGTTGCGGTGGGTGTTGCTGCTGGCGTTGCTGTGGATGATGTGGGTGTTGCTGCAGGTGCAGATGCAGAGCCGCTGTTGCCGCGACTTGCTGCGTCTCTTCATCATGGTGTCCACTCCGAAGAAAAGAGCCATCAGTAGCTGTGTCCAGCCCCGAGGACACCTCCATTATACCCGTGGTCTTGGGGAATACGGAAAGGAGAAAGCGTACAGGTGGGGGCCCCCAGCTCTTCGGGGTCCTGCGCGCGTACGGCCCCCAGGGGCGTGAGAAGCCTCCTCATATACAAACGGAGGTGAGGGGCCCCAAGTTTTGTCACTGCCAGCTCTTTGCTGCCCCTGCTTCTGGATGTTTTTGGCTACTACGACCTACGGCTGTCCTCTGGCCTTCTGCTGGGACTGCTGGAGGGCCCAAGAAGAAAGACAGCTCATTTCCGAAGGCCCTTCGGAGCCGGAGACGTCCGTCTGCTGCGCTCGGCGGAATGCAGCAGCTGAGCCTGAGGATAAAAAGAAGGCTTCCGGAGCGCTAGAACAGTCTGGCTGCTGCCACCTGCTGCAGCAGCTGAGCTCGAGTGGGGATGGGTGGGATCGCGTGGGACGGTTCAGATCGGGGGGACCGTGTACAGGCCTCTCGGCGCCGCAGTAGCGGCCGCAGTGTGGCTCTCTACATCGGACGTGGGCAACAAACAGTAGTCAAGAGCTGCTGCTGGGAGGTTTGGCTGCAGCAGCCTCAGCAGGAGTCAAGGCAGCAGCAGCAGCTGCAGCCACGGCGCGAGCATCGACAGCGGCTGCAGCAGAGCGACGAGCAGTGGCAGCAGCAGCAGCAACTACGAAGCCCCGCTCATTGCATGACCAAGCGCCACTGCTGTCAGGTGCTGCTAAAGGCCACGGGCAGTCGCTGTGCTGCAGCTGGCGCTGAATACGGCCGTGGTGCAGCAGCCAAGCGTAGCTGAGGAAATCCTTTCCAATAAATCGGAATGAAGCTACTGAGCAAAAACAATCATGTAGACTAATGACTGCCTGTTGGATTAATATGACTCGTTTCGACGGTTCGTCGCAGCACCTGAAAGCAAAACAGGAAAGAAGACCTCAAAAAGCTACTTGTCGGTGGAAAGCGCTGCAGAATCCCTTTTCGTGCTTTCTACGCTACTATTCCTTTGACTTCGTTGGAAACGGCGGCAGCGCGAGTAGCAGCAGCCGATCTCGTATGTGGCCCATGGGTAGGTCCTGGGTCTCGGCGGCGCCGCAGACCAACCAACCCGCCACTTGCCCCAAATCATGCCAAACTACAGCTAAAGACGGTACATATGGGCAACACAGTCGGCCTCTGCGCTGGAATTTCCAATTTAGTCGGTGTATTAGCGGTATGGAGGACGAAGTAGCGTACGTGGAGGGTCTGCTTTGGAGTCAGAAAGCTGGTGCCGTTGCTGCGGCATCCATAGAGACAGCAGCGACACAGGCGGTGACAATGTGCTGCTTCTGAGTCAATGAAGGCAGCCAGGGGAAGAGAAGGGCTTGGGGCACCCTGTGGGATGAAGAGATCGAACACAGGCAGACTGGGCGCAGGAGGGGGAGGGAGCGGCTTGTGTTACTGCGGTGCAGCGTTTGTACAGGCCCGCAGTTGCTCCTGTCTGTGTTTTTTGAGTGTTTTTAAACGCCGAAGGCAAGGTCGAGGCGGTGAGCCCGGAAGAAGAGAGCAGAGAGCAGCCGACGCGCCAGTTGCCCGTTGTCTGTAGGCGGCCCTCTGCGGCGTTGCTCTCAGCTACGTCGAGTGGTTCTGCCTGGTACAGCTCAGTTAGCTCACCGAGAAGAAAGCTGAAAGGAAATAATTGAAACTCATTGGGGAAGACAGATGAGAGGCGACGCCCGACGCTGTCGCGAGAACTGGCAGGCTGCCAGCGCCGAGCAGCTCAGGAGGGGGAAGTGGGGCAGAGGTAGTTAAGGATCAGGTGTCTTTAAGTAAACTAGATAAAAAAGACACATTTCTCACAACTGTGGAAAATGTGAGGCGTAACGACAGCCAATTTGCCGCCAAAACCCACAAACCCAAACACTCGGAGCTGCCGTGCCCGACCCCAGCCAGCGCCGTCTCCCCTGCCGTCTCCCGAGGGCCCCTTTCGTTACAAGGATAAGTAAACACAGTGTGTTTTTACAATTTAAAGTGAGGAAACTATTTGTATCTATGCAACATACTCAGGGCAGATTTGGGGGGGAAAATTCAAGCAGCATTACCCGTGCAGCATACGCACGCTCACATGCTCGCAGCGACCGAGCAGACGACACACAGCATGCTAGCAGTGTCTATCGGAAAAGACAAAAAGGAAAAGATTTCGTGAGGCTTTTTAATCCAGTTGAGGCCTTCACATTTACCGCATCTACAATCTACTGCGGAAAGTCGCACAGCCTTGCACCCCGTGGAGAAACTCGAAGCTTTACATAGCTCACTGAGACGAGCAGCGATCCCGGCTTCTGTGTCGTAGAGCCTTCTCTCATTCAAATCTTATCATACTCCAGCACTAGCACAAGCATCATGTTCTAAAGCAGTGAAGGACTTAGCGAAAGTGTTTCCGGGATCGCTTTCATTCTTCCCTTTGTGCACTGGAGAGAATCTCTCCAGTTCGCACTGCAATTGGCCACCGTAGTAGGCAAGGGGTGACTCGTGGATGCTGCTTTAGGGAGAACAAAAGCGATCTTGGAGCTCAGTTCTGCAGAGTGAGTTGGCGCCACTCGCAACCCACGTGTGGTGTTAAACAGGCGTTTGGCCTTGAGGCCATGAACGGCTCAGAATGGCTCAATCTTACTCAGAAAAATTCAGGGTTTTCTGTGGTACAGCTGTTATGGGCGTCGCTCAAAAGGAGCGACTCCTGGTTTGGCTTCAATTGACACTGTTCTTTGTTGGTGAATATACACTCGACCCGAAACTTCCTTGGCTATTCTTTGCTGCTCTTGGCTAGCCTTTTCATACTTTCAGGTTCGCTGTAGTCAGCTGTGTCCGGCTTATCACAGCTCCATTGTTGCACTGTCGACCCGATGTACAGCTGCATATTCTTGAGTCATCAAAACAGAGATCGGCTCAATCTAATGCTGTCTCTAAACCCTTGCTGTTGACACACAGGTAGAAACCATTCCGTTTGTTGTTACGGGCAGGAGTTCCTTGTGCCACAAGATGCACAGCGCTGGGCTTCTCTGCCTGAGCTGTTGACTCAGTGCTGTCTATTTGGGGTGGCTCTTGAAAAAACATTCCTTTGTCTATTCAGGCCATAAGCGGGGTGTCCTCTGTGGCGGCTTTTGAGTTTGAATAGGCTGGTCTCCCGTCGTCTGTTGAAGCATCATCGAAGGTCTTGAACTCGTCAGGAGACATTCTCTCGCGGCCGTTTCCTCCCCTCTTCAGCACGCGGTAGTATGACAGGAAGACGGCCATGGCTACCGAGTTTAGCAGCAAGTGCAAAGTAGTCATTATGAACTGAAACACAGAAGGAGAGCTCGAAAGGGCGTTGGCTACCAACTCCCCCGCGTCGCAGACCATAGTCATAATGGCCACAATTAGAACCACCAACACAAATCTATAAGACTTCGTCACCGTTGATAACACTCCCAGTGCACCTGCAATGATGGTAAACGACGAAGAAAAGAAATTAAAGGCGAGGACAGACTCGGAACTGCCCTGAGAGCTGTTTTTCCGCATGGCAGCACACAGCTCCACCGTAGAGCTCAACATATTGTACAGAGAAAATATCACCACACATGCCGCCAAGTTGAATGGGCCAATGCCCCTGATGTTGCAGCTGCACTTCCCCATCTTGTTCGTTGGTTGTGGCGATCTTGGCCCAGGTGGATCGGCCACGGTCCTCAGAAAGGCCCTCCGGCTATGTCTAAGCTGTGAAAGAGAAAAATCAATTAAAAGTTGTTTCTATGTTGTAATTTGTCCGCTTCAAACAGCTCGGGTGTGGGCCGTCATATCCCACGGCAGCAGTGGTCGCTAGTGCGAAAGCGCAGTCGAACGGCCTCAAAAGAAAAGCGGTTCGTCTGTTTTTTCGGAATGCAATATTATAAGAAAGGACAAAATGAAGTTTAGAATACCCAAAAAATTGGGTGGAGACTCGGGTAGAAGGTCCGGTCGCTGTGCCGCGGACGACTATTGCCCCAGAAGAGGCCCACTGGTCACGTCCTTGCAAGGCTCCCGATGCTCGTAAGCTCTTGTATGCAGTCTGTGGTGGAATCTAAAGTAAAACAGAGATTTTCCAAACATTTTTAATTAATTTGGTGTTGCTAATGGCCACGAGACAGAGGGTCCATTGGAGGCAAGCAGCACACCTGGTCTGTCAGCAAGTCAATGGACAGAGACTGAGCTCTGCGCACCTCTCGGAAGCATGTTCAATACTCTATTGTTGAAGAACATTTTAACCTTCAAAGGTTTGCGGTGGAAATACCTGCGGAATGCATCCCGTTCCCCACACATGATCCCGTACTGCGTCGCCTATTGGCACGGTCATTTGGACAGCGGCTACGAATCAGCTAAGAAAAGTACGAGCAGTAGATGCAAAATGTTCACTCCAGCGCTATGAGACAATTGATGCATTAAAAGGTGTATCCGTTGGCTGCCGACGCCACTGTACGCCTGAAAAAAAAGTGAAGGCCAAGCGGCCTGGACATCGATTGCTCCCTGTTCGACCACAGTTGCTTGCTTCCCTTGTTCATTCTCTTCTTTATCAGTTTTGCAATTTTTTAGTCCCAGTGCCGTGCAGGGTCCGTGATTCTAGTGGCGTAAGGGCCAAGCTAAGGCTATAGACTGGAGTGAAATACAGGAGCTTAGGCGGCTCCACTTGCCGTGCATGTAAAGCATTCGGCTCAAGCTCAGTATCACCTAGGGCTCCTTGGGTAAGGTATATCTGTAGAACTGTTTTCTATCAAACCTGCGTTCTGATGCATTTACGGTTGTTGACTTAGGCCTTCATATCGTATTGTTCTACGTATCCCCGGTCCCTTCATATCTTACTTAATAACTTTTATTCTTTGCACCCTCGCATTTGCGCGGTAACAGAAAACTATTTGCTTCCGAAAGAATTATAAATACACTGCATAAAACTGTTCAATTACCTTCCATGGGCACGCATTCAGTAGGTAGCCGAACAAGAAAGAAACTACCGAGAGGCTTTTTCGCCAAAATGCTAA